ACACACACACACACACACACGACCGCGCGCACAGGCGCGCACACTTCCTCCCACCCTTCAGGAATGAAGACAGTTTCTCACCATCCTCATAGTTTTTGAGATAGTAATCCGGGCCCGGGCCCCCGCGGCTTTTCGCCGGGTTCCTCAGGTTCTGGAACTGTAGAAAGTCGGTCCTTTTGCCCCCGAAGCGAAGAAAGGCGGGCGAAAGTCCCCGGGCCAAGGTCACCAGACGCTTGGAGCTGCAGAGGTAGAGAAAGAGAGAGGAAAGGATCCCAGAACGATAGAGCGCGCCAAGCACGGAGCTAGGCCCTCTTCATTCTTTGCTGAAGACCTGGCTGAAGCTCTTTGCGGGACTAAGTCCGCAGTCCACTGGATCCTCGGCTGTTCCGCGGAGTCTCCTGAGCGTCCCTTGTGCGCCCAGCACCTCAGCTGGCTTTTCCCCTAACCTCTCGGTTTCTCCCTCAACCCCCAGCCCCGCTGCGCCTTCGGTGCCCAGCCACCCGCGAAGGCCCCCTCCCAGACACCTTGATGCCCAGGTACAGATTTCCAAAGAGTTTGAGTTTGAAGTGTGTGTGTGGGTCTGGGGCACACTGTACTGCGAACATGAGACCTGGTAAGTTGCCTGGCTTCCGCCACCGCAAGGAAAACGCTCCCTGTGGAGACGCACATATCGCGGACCACTGGTCTGGGGCTCCCGCCAAAATTACGCTCAGCAAGGGGCACCCCAACCTCTTCGGGGAAAGTGAAATCTTGTTCTCTTGCCCTCAGACCAGGGTCGGCTCCTGAGGTCAAGGGGATTCCGACTTTTATTATTATTATTATTACAAATCCGTTTTACATTTTAACAACTAAATTATTTTTCAAATCCCAGAGCGGAGGAATTCCTGGGATAAATTCCGGTCTTTCCGAGGATGTACCTCCCCTATACACACAGTAAAAGCAATGTCTCTTTGATCCCTGAAATAATTTAGCCTAATCTGAAGAAAGGTAACCTCTTTCTCCTACACCGAGTTGAGCTCATTTTTCCCTTCCTACTTGAAGCTCTTTGGAAGCTCTGAGGAAGACAAGCCTGGAGAAATATGGAACCTGCGCGTTAGGGGAAACTCGAGGAGGACCACAATAGCATTTACATTTATAAGTTCAAAATTTCCATCAATAGGTTTTTAAAAGCCAAACACTGCTACTTTGGGAAGGGGCCATAGAGATGCTGTTAGTGTAAAGGGGATTGGCTGCTGAGTCCCGAGTCTGTAAATTATTTTTTAACGCTTTGCTTTTTCGGGTTCTGAAATTTTAAATCAAAATGGAGAAGTTAAATAGCATCATGAAGGAGGTGAAGGCAAAAGAGAAAAACGGCGCCTCCCTTTTAGTTTTCGAGAAGAGATGTGGCTTCCTTGATAATTCCGGTGGCCAGAAGGAAGGTTTGGCTGAGGACTCAGGACCACATTCAAGTGCGCGCGCAGTTAGGACGTCGCGTGGGACGGCTTCGGACAGAGGAGACCTCTGAGCGAGTGGGACCCCAGGGAAACCTGGCATTCCCAACAACCTTCCATCCAAAAGCCTGCACAGCCAATGCAGATGCACCCAACCATGGCTTCTTCCCTGAGAAGAAGCCTTCCAGGATTTTTTCTGCAGCACGCAAGTATTTAGCGAGAACAGGCTGGCACTAGGGGAAGGCGGGGGCGGGGGGCTGAAAGAGTGAGCCAGCTGGAAGAGTGAAAAAGCAAGTGGGGCTTTCGGAAAGCCCCTGTCATACCCCGCATTCAGAGGAACTCACAGACGCGCTCTGCCACACAGAAGAGCTTTCTAGGAGGAAGCCCGGTGGTGCAAAGCTTTTCCCCGCCCTCCTAACAGTTGCACCGCAGGAACTGAAACAGCCGCGAGGCAGTAGCAACCACCACCCAGTCCTCGGGCACGATCCCCACCACCTCTACGAGAAAGGAGCGCTCCAAGTGGCGCCTCCAGCTACCTGCTGCGCCAACGGACCAAGCCAGGCCAGGAGGGGCGGGCGCTCCCGAAGAAGTAAAACTAGAATTTCTTAGAGTTTAAAATATGAAAGACGCACTGAGGACTCGGACTCAAAGCAGAGGAATAGGATGGAGAGCGCGAGGGGTTCTTGGGGGAGCCCACTGCTGAAGCTTCAAGTTGGAAGGAATTTTTAAAGACTCAACACTTGGATTCGATGTTGCAGACGATTTATTTCTTTCTTTTTTTTTTTACACTGCAACTCTGTCCCTGATGGAAAGGGATCGCGGTTGCCTAACTGCGGAACGGTAACAACCCCGGGGAAAGGGTGAGCTCAGTTTGATTCCAAGGGGATCACAACCTCCGAGTTTGCTAATTCACAGGTGCTGGTTCAAATCACAGAAATTTATCCCTCTCCCCCAGAGTATCTAGGATTATTACCGCTCCCCTTTTGTACTCTATGACCCCAGCGAGGATTTTTTTTTCCTTAAAGAAAAACTAAACGATGCGGTTACTGCAGGAGATTTAAATTGGAAAAACTGGGGAGAGGAGGATATTCTATTAAAAATTCCTAACAAAGTCCTGAAGTCTGTAGATGACAGCAGAGAAAATAAAATGAAACTTTAAATCTCCGACCCGGCTTGCCCACCGCTCAAGCTTCTCCAATAAGTTCATTGTCTGCCAGGGAGTGGGAGATAACTGACAAAACTATCTTTCTGTGGAAATTTTCACTTTGTGCAATCCCCATTTGAACTATCTGTCTCCGTGTCTGTCTCTGTCTGTGTGTCTGTCTGTGTCCCTCTCTCCGTCTCCCTCTCTCACACACTCACACACACACACACACACACACACACACACACACACACACACACACAAATTCCTCTTGGGTCTTTGTTGCTCCAGACCTTTTCTTCACTCTTGTAACTGTGCTGAACCTCTTCTTTCTTTTTCAGAAGAAGGGGAAGCTAATTGTGAATATATGTAAGCACAACATTTTTTCAGTCATAACTGATAAGTTTCTGAAATGCCTTCTGCATTGCAAACATGTGCATCTTAATAGAAAACACTGCTTTTCTCAATCACTAGTTACAGCCTCACAGCATATATTCCAGGAGATGGGAAAAAAACCTTTTTTTTTTTTTTTTTCTCATTGAGAGAGAAGTCTGCTTGGCTTACTTTCTTCTTTTTCTTCTTCCCCCTTCAGAATGGGGATAGGAAGAGAATGGAAGTGGAGAATACTTTAAAAATTAAAAATGATCCATCGAAGCCCCTGCCTTACCTTAAGAAATCGAGCCAGCCATCATGAATGATGGAGGGATCCAGCTGCAGAGAGAGGAAGTTCTCATTGACTGTCCTGACTGGGTTCTTGGTGCTCACATCAAGTAGAATCAGGGTCTTTTCCTTCAAACCTGCAGCTCTGTCTACAGGCAAGGGTCTCCTGTCTCCAGCTTGGGAGGAAGGGGAGAGTTGGAGCAACAGAGACAAGTAGAGAGCCATCGGGGCTAGGCACGCTGAGGGGCGGGAGTAGCTGGAGGACATGGCTTCGGGGAAGGCACAGAGCACTCTCATTAAATCCTTCTGATTTAAACCTCTCTCCCTACTGGGTCTCGCTGTTGACTAATTGTCCTTATCTAAAATGTGTGTCTGTCTGCCTCCCCCTTTCTTTTTTTCCCTCCCCCCCATTCTCTCTCTCTCTCTCTCTCTCTCTCTCTCTCTCTCTCTCTCT